TCTCCTTGTCAGCTATGGAAATTGCAATTGACTTTGTGTACTATTAGGGTTTATTTTTAGAATTTTTTGTTGTTTTCCAAAAAAATTTGATGGAAAATAAGGCTCCGTGAACCCTTTGCTCTTGTTGAGCAAATAAAGCTGAATTTGGAATTTTGAGAATTTTAGTACAATTTAAAAGCTTTTAAATGATGAGAGTGTCCACCTCAATTATGACTAGTTCTAACCAAAGCTCTGAGATGCGTTTTTCAGACAGCTCTCTGCTGGGGTCATACATGGCACACAGCAAACAGACTAGACTTTAGTGGTTTCCATGTCTATGACAACATGAATGGGTTAAACTTATAATGAGTTAATACATTTTCATAGAAGATTTTATGAAAACTAGCTTTACCCCACGGTGCTCACCAAAAGCAAGCATCTCTGACTTTTTTCCATGAAGTCTGGGGACTTCAAAGGTCAAAAGTGGGCACAGGTGGAATGGAGGGTCACACACAAGCTCTTGCCTCATTGAAAATTTGGTTTGGGGACCAAAAAAAGTAAAAAAAATTAAAATAAAATAAAACAAAATAAAAAAAAAACCACTGCCACAAGAGTAGGGAACAGGCAAGCTGTTTGGGGTGGTTTATTATGATGATTCAGGATTCATTATCCATTCCACAAATATTTATTGAACGCCTACTATGGAAGCTTTAGGCAGTGGTGCCCAGGGTATGGTGATTGCCAAGTAAAACTTGGTTTATTAAAAAATCCCAGCTAGTAAAATAACTGAATGGGAAATGAGAAGATGAGGCCTGACTTCTGAGAACCAAATGTGGAACAACCTGGTGAAAATCATGTCTGAGTAATTTGCCCCCACTTGATGGATGATAAAAGAATCTATGCAAGGCTTTAGCAGGAGTCTGTTTGAGAAAATAATTACTGCAATATGCGCTAGAAAAGAACCATAATAATAGACCATAAAAAATAAACCATGGCTCTTGACTAATACAGCAGACCAGATCATAACTGGGTTGACAAAAGTAATGAAGCCTACAGGGTAGAGTGGCACCATTTAGTGGAACCATTGCCAACGCCTACACAGAAAGGAATTAGCAAGGGAGTGCTGTTTGCAGAGACCAAATGTGGGAACTGCAGAGCATCAAAATAAAGCAGTTGAGGTTTATATACCACTATAGATACACCCACTCACCTCAGACTTAAACTTAATTTATATCAGCAACTGCCATTTTACCTTAACACTTTTATTCCAGTGTTATATTACTGAACATATCTGGTCCGTATGTATTCCTTAGCATGTACTAAATTGATACAGATTCTTTTATGTTTAAAAAGTAAATAATAAGGGCTGGCGCTGGGGCTGGGGCTCAGTGGTAGAGTGCTTGCCTAGCTGATGTGAGGCACTGGGTTTGATCCTCAGCACCACATAAAAATAAACAAATAAAACAAAGGCATCCTGTCCATCTAAAACTACAAAATATATAATAATAAAAAAAGGAAATAATAAAATGACCGTAGTCACTCAGAATAGTCAACAATAGTGGTGACTAAACTCTATAAACGATTTGAAGACAGACTCTGTATTTATCCAGCGGTACTTTCTGAGGCAGAGTTTTTCTCCTGACCCAGCTCAGTGGATATCGAATTCTATTGATCATAACATCCACATCTTGAAGGTGCCATGAGATGAGTCCCAGCTACATGGCTGAGCCTTGTTAGGTCACCAGGCAGCAGCATCAGAATATAATTCCAGGGTATTTTCTGTGACTCATAGGCAAACTGTAACCAATAGTTAAGATGGGTCACCAATTCTGATGTTAAACAGAGTTACTAGGTGTGAGTATGATAGCCCCAAGCTTATTGGGGAAGGTTGGCATTTGGGTAGGTCAAGGTTTGGGATGTGGTGGTATCCTTAGTGGAAAACCGCTTTCTTCTTATCTTTAAGTGCCTGAGCTCGGTCAGCTCTTCAGTCACTTTGGGTCATTAATGAATCTCTTTCAACTTTCAGCAGAACTTCCACTCTTGACCACTTCTGTTGCGTGGATATTAATTTAAGTATAACCATTAATTACTACTTTCAGATGTAGGCCCTAAGTGTGGGCATTTAGCACTTTCCCATCTTACTGTCATGTAATCCTAATGTTAGTTGGTGAAAGAGGCTTTTCTTCATTACATTAGCAAATAAAGTGCTCCATGGTATCCAAGAAAGATTTACCTAGGCAAGTAAGGGAATAATTTATAATTTTATAAATAGGAAATGTTTGCTCTTTGAGGATTCAGTACCACCTGTTCACAAATGTCTCCCACACCTAAGTGCACACACACTAGATAACCCAGCCCTTTTGCCATAACTTAAAAATGAATTACAAGTTCTCAACCATGCAGTAAGACTCAAGAATAAGAGACCTGAAGATTCATGTCTTATAAAGGAGGGCATATTGAGGCATGAAGCAGTTAAACGATCTGGTGGTCCTCAAGCTGACAGACAGGAAGGTTCCAGGAAAGCGTTTTTAAAATTTTACTAGAAAAACAGATATATTTATTTAGAGTATAATCCAGTTACTCTGTTCATTCTACCTTTGGTCAAAATCATTTTATCAACTTTAAAGTCACTCTTAGAGACTAGAAGGAAGTTGTGGGGAGGAGGAAGTTGGTCGTGGGGAGGAGGAAGGCTCTGTGATCAGTGATGGCAAGATCAAATGAATAATGAGACATGAGAAGTTGATTTCATTGCTTGTGACTTTCCTCACACAAAGACAGGCAGAAAGATCCCAAAAGTATCTGTGGTTTTTCTTCTTTCTTTTTTTTTTTTTTTGGATATAAATCAGCAGTGTGACTCTGTAAAGATTTATCATATATGTTATGTAGAACTAGAGCACAAGAGTTGGAAGGGTGCAGATACTAAAAAATGATAAATATCTAAGGAGATGGAAATGCTGATTACCCTCATTTGATCACTGCACTTTGTATATGTGCTATTGAATCATCACACTGTACCCCATTCATATACACAATTATTATGTGTCACAATTTTTAAATTAAAAAAATGACTCCTTTCAATAAGCAAAACATATGTATTATAGAATACAGCAAAAGAACTTATATAATAACGCTCGATACAGGAAATCTGTAAAATTATGGATATTACTATCTTAGTCGGCACCCTTCGGAAGCCTTTCCAAATGAAGAGTGAAAAGGACATTGCTCTGTGAAAACTGCATGGGGGTAAGGAAGCATGGTTTAAAGGGTTTGCATTTTTTAAATTTTTTAATATCTTCCTAAAAGTGCTACCTAAGGCAAGCCTTCTCTCTTTGTGTTTTAGAAAAGTAAAAGTATGCACATATTTTCCTAAAGAATACACATCAAATACAGTAGTGTTTGGTGGAAGAAACACTACTGTATATATATAGATATAAGCAGAGCTTATATCTTACATATAGATATAAGCAGAGCTCCTTATTCCAAGGGTCAAGGGACCTTGGGAGTCCCTTTGGAATCACTCACAAGTAGCATTTATTTTAATTTTTTTATTTAAAAATTATTATTATTAATTATTTGGTACTGGAGATTTAACCCCAGGGACATTTTACCACTGAGTTATATCTCCAGCCCTATTTGTTTTTATTTTAAGATGGGGTCTCACTAAGTTGCTTAGGGCCTCAGCTAAGTCGCTGAGACTGGTCTTGAACTTGTGATCCTCTTGTCTCAGGCTCCTGAGCTGCTGGGATTACAGGCATGCACCACTGAGCCTGGCTTTTTTTTGAGACAGGGTCTTTCTAAGTTGCCCAGACTGACCTTGAACTTGTAGTCCCCCTGCCTCAGCTTCATGAATAGCTGGTATTATAAGTATGTACCACTGCAAAAGTAGCATTTTAAAAATTCAAATTGCTTCCTGTGCACAAAGTAAAAGCAATAGGTTCTAATTTAGTAATAGAGCATATACCACTAAACTGCCCATGTAACTTATGTACACTTAACTCTAAAATTGGTTGAAAAAATAGAAAACTACTCAAATTGTGTAACAAATTTGTGTACTACGTCCTGTGAAA